TTTACCTGCCTCACGCGATGGAAGGACACGACAATCGACGAAATGTACGTGTTTCTGGCACTCGCCATGATGATGAAGCACTCTGAGAAAGCTGTCATCCAGGATTATTGGAGCAAAGACAGCCTTGTTTCATCACCCGTGTTCAACCGGTACATGTCGCGTGATAGGTATCTCTTGATTCTCGGGTGCCTGCATTTCGAGAATAATGCAAATGAGGACAGACACGACAGACTGTGGAAAGTATGGAAGATGTTCAGTGACATGAGAGGGAAGTTCAGGGATTATTTTGTACCTGCACAGAATGTGGTTATTGACGAGTCGCTTGTACTGTTCAAGGGGCGACTAGCATTCAAGCAGTACATCCCATCAAAGCGGCACTAATTTGGACTGAAGTTTTTTGTGCTGTGTGACAGTGAGACTAGTATTATCTTGGACATGTTATATTCTGGTACAGATGTCGACACACCAGCTCAAGATGAACACTGGTTCTCTGGCAGTGTCGTAAATACCCTGATGGAACCGTTCCTGAACAAGGGGCATATACTGTTCACCAACAACTATTACACCAGCCCCTTGTTGACCAGTTACCTCCTTGCCCATAACACCGGCGTATGTGGCACTGTGAAGGCCCACAGGAAGGAAATGCCAGTGTTCGGTATAGGTATAGCCGTGGGCGAGTGCCAGCTGCGCAAGTGTGACAATATGCTGTCAGTGTGGTGGAAGGACAGACGCGAGGTGAATATGCTGACTATGATTCACACTGATGCCATGTTGGACAGTGGGAAAGTCCACTTTCAGACACGCAACACCGTGTATAAGCCAGACTGTCATAGACTATAACGTGAACATGCGCCTCGTCGATAAGTGTGACATGATGCTTGGTGGAGTGGAGTGCGTGCGCAAGTCTGTGAAGTGGACGAAAAAGTTCTTCTTCCACCTCATGGATGTTGCAGTGCTCAACTGCTTCAATATGTACCTAGTAAAATCTGGCAGGAGACCGTCTATACGTACATTCAGTGCTGGTGTTGTGTCACAGCTGCTAGTAAAGTATGGCAAGGAGGGCTCTGTTGTACCACACGGGGTGCAAGCAACAGTGCCACACGCGGGGTGCAAGCAACAATGCCACACGCAGCTCCAGACAGATTGAGGGGTAATGAGAACCTCGGAGTACATATGCTCGAGTATATGCCAGGCACAGCATCACGGGAGAAAGGTAAACGTGCATGTATAGTATGCAGGAACACTGCCCGCAGAGAACAAAAACGAAGATGCATCAGCACCTGGTGCGTGGAGAGCAAGGTACCACTCTGCGCCATTGGCTGTTTTGTTTCATCACACACTCGCGGAGTACTGAGTGTGTTTATGGTGTGTGTATATAGTGTGTGATACTGTACAGTGTGTATATAAAGTGTAAATATAAATATATTAGGCATGATACATTGGAAATTGTGCAGGATAAGTGAACTTGTTTGTGATGCACATAACAGTGTCTACGGACAGCACGGATGTTCTACTGGCATAATATTGTGTACGTGTTCATTATACATTGGATTGGCACGTAAAAACAATTAAATTATATTGGGAACTGTGTGCAAAAAATGAACGAAAATATATTCACGGCAACTCTCGCGCCCTGCCCCGAGAGCCCTACTGGCCCCGGGAGCATACGCCACGGGCACATGGGGGAATGATGACATCACGCCCCAACTTCCGGACCCCATAGCAGCCAAAGTAAGTACAATTTTGATTTTTTTTTTTACATACCCATACTGAGGGAAGCGTTTTTGACACTTTAAAAAAAAATAAAAAGAATTTTTTCCAGAGAATTTATTTCCTGCGCACTGCAAGGGTGTCATATTTGGAGGCAACACAGTTAAGGGGTTAACCCTTGTGTTGCTCTGGGCTAATTAGCATTCGTCACCCACAGGCGCATACCAAAAAAAAAATTCTTTCTAACCTGTTAAGTCATGTTCCCTGACCACGAGAAAAATAAAAATAAATTAAATTGTACTTACCGATGACGTAATTGAGCCGACAATATGGGCAATGACGTCACACCCTGCATGAACGCTCATGCACGGTGCATCCCAGAGGCGTCACGCGCAGTCTTCAAGCAGCAACAGTTGCCATGAATTTATTTTCGCATCATTATTAAGTGTCTAGGCATATTTTATTACTAATATTAGTTACTAATTGTGTTGCATATAATGTTACATCATGGTCATTGTCAATAAATGTTGCATACATCAAGTATACAAATGTTTTCCATTACGCCAATATATTTTGTAATCACAATGTTCCTTATTATATTTACACACATGCATGCACTATGTACAGGTTTTTGCACTATTATTGCACATTTAGAAGTCTTGGAGAGAGTGGTAGTTGTTGAAGCAGTCGACAGCACACAATGGAACTGCATACGCTTCACACCATGTTTGCACCACTTTACGTTTCTGATCTCTCCTTTTTGTTGTTTTACAAACTAGGTATTCACGTTGGCCTATTGCACGCTTTCCAGCTGGTGGCAGATGTTCTAGTCTGTGTGCTTGAAAGGCCTCCATGTGAGTGACCCTGGGTGTAGCAGCATGCTGCAACACTGGGATCATGATGGGTCTTTGTATGCGAGGGACATCTTTGCCAAACTTTGCTAATAACTGTGTTGCAAGTGTAAAAGTAAACGCAAGGAAACTAAGTTTACATCCAGGTTTCATCAGATACATATTATAGCAGTTCGGCATGCTCATGTCAACAAGCTGGAAAAACACTTTTTTTGTACATTTCAATGTTTTCCGCACACTCGATAGTGCTAACCATCATGTCCGCTTTATCAATCAAATGCATGTTGATATTATAGTCAAGAACACAATCTGGCTTATATACTGGTTCTTTCGTTACACGGTTCACCTTGACACTGTTCACCATTGTACCATCATGAACGATTGTCAGCATGTTCACTTCTCTCATGTCTTTCCACCTAACCGAGAGTATTTGATCACATTTTCGTGGCTGGCACTCACCAACTGCAAGTCTACCGTCAAACACTGGCATTTCCCTTCTTCGTGGCTTAACTGTGCCAACCAATCCGGTTCTATTTTCAATCAAGAACCTAGCTAGCAATGAACTTGTATAGTAGTTATCTGTGTATGTGGCCCTTGTTCATCCATGGTGCCATCAGTGACTTCACCACACTACCCGAGAAACTATGTTCGTCGTTACCAGGAATGTCTACATCGTTAGCTGAATACAGAATCGTGTGTAACATGTATCCTGTTTCAAAGTCACAAAGAACAAAGAATTTAAATCCAAATCTGTTTTGTTTGGAGGGAATATAATGCTTGAATGGAAACACGTCCTTTGAAAAGCACAAGGGATTTGTCGAATCACCAGCTTCTGTGCTGGTACGTAAAAATCTCTGAACTTTCCAATCACTTCATTCATATAGTGCCTCACTCGCCAAAGTCTATCATCCTCTGTCCGGTCCTCATTACTTGCAAAATGCAGACACCTGAGGAGTATCTGAAACCTGTCTCGGGACATGTATTTCCCGAAGAAAGGTGGTGGAATAGTCAGAATTAATACCCACAACCAGGACATACAAATTAACTACTCACAAATAATTATGATGTAGGGCAAAATCACAAGAATTTAATGTATCTATTAGAAAATAGTGAGGTCATGCTATGGAATCAAACTGGTGTCCCAGGGACTCAGGTTCCATCTAGTAACATCCCAGCAGAGGAAAAATCATATATGAAGATTGAGGATCCAATAATCTGTGATAGCGTGTTTAACAGTGCTTCATCAACATACATATTGCTAAAAACACATACATTTCACCTACAGTGGTAGTTATCCAACGTAGCAATCGTGAAAATTCTGTTATCTCTTTTCCAATGAGATGAGCCGCATGAAGGTTCGTTTGGTGTACAATATATTCTATGAGTGGCTCATCATAGAATGCTGTAAAATAATCAAATTCACACATATCCTCTCCATTATCAGGGAAAAGCTCTGTAATCCCAACGTCTTTATTGTCAAAGGAATTCAGGAATAAAACTGGCACCATCACTTCACACTAGTACACCTGGGGTCCTGCAAGACGCAACAGGGGCACAACGGCGAGGAAGCGATGCACACCATGGACCAGGAGCTAAAGCCCATCTACGCACAGTACGGCCACTACGTGCACGTGAGATGGAAGCACGTGAACATGAGGCCATTGGTGCCTCATGTTGTTCCATGTGGTGGCGCTTGGCTGGGCGAGACACTGCTGATGCGACAAATTCTCGCCCAGTAACACCACTGGTACTGGCACCAGGCTTGGTAACACTGTGCTCTGATTCCACTTTACTAAAACCAGAAAAAGTCGCCTTCCTCTGACTTGTCACCCAAAATGTCCTCAGACTCTAAATAAGCACAGGAACTGTGTGGTCGTGGGTGAATTGGAATTGACACTGGGCAAGGTGGCATTGGTGAGCGTATAGGCCTCGCCATGGGAGGCGTCTGTATCTCATTTTCACTGTCGGTGCTATCATCATCGGTCAATTGTGTGTAGTCTAGTCAGTCATCAAAATCACTTCCCTCGCCATCAGAAAATAATTCACTAGATATTACTCTTGGGTGAGTGATTACGTGGTGCGCGCCCGGGAAGCGTTCAGCCGTGCGCTCGACATGGTGGCTGCTGGGTAACTGATGCCTCCCACGCGATGGTAGCATGAGCTGGATTTTTTTTTACAAAATGACAGCTGTTTACTATAGCCCCTGGGCAGCGTATGAGGGGCCCCCTCTATCCCGCGGGCCATTCAAATCTTGCGCGGTACTCCAATACATCATATGCTGTGGAGCACAAGTTATTGCAAGTTACTAAACCCATCATATGATGTGTTGCGCACTTAAAGGGTTAAGGGTTAAAGACAATACTGCACATTTACCCATGACATGTGTGAATTTTCCTTTAAGAATTAAAATTTCACAAGGCAAATTATTTCTTGTATTAGGAAACTGCTGATGTTGTGTTCGTGGTCGATGAGCGAAGGATTCAGGCCCATCGTGCAGTCCTTAAAATTAGATGTCAGTACTTCCGAAACATGTTTCAAGAGCACTGGAAGGAAAATAATTTAGAGTAAGTATAATCAAATATACAGTATTAAGTCAGAAGGATATCTTCTAGTTTTATTTAACCCCTTAACCCCTTGTGTCAATCAAGAATATCATATATTATCGAAAAGATGTCCCTTCAGTTGCTCCTAATAGAAAATCAGATCAAAGGCACCAGGGAGGGTAGTGGTGGTTTCACATATTGGTTTTGAAATATAATTTATTCTTAGATTAACAACAAAAACAGTATAGGTGAAGCAAATACTGTAGTTCCAAGAAAATACTTAAAAGTTTCATTATAAAATGATGCACATTTCTGGGGGGAGCCCCTACGGCTCCCTGGAGCTTACTAGGCTGATATGCTAATGTCAGACTTTGGCATCAGTCATGTGTATGGAGTTCTTTTGGGCCTACCGGGAACCATGAGCCAGAACCTGGCCCCCTCTAGAGAGGCAAGGGGAGCAATGGCCTATAGAAACCCCTGTGTGATTGGAAGCATTCTATGTCTGCCATCAACCGGATTAGGCACCCAGAAAGGTAGGCGTCCCAAAAACAAAGTCCTATTTTGGTGAAAATTGCAACCAAAAGCGGAATGAGTGGATAGAACTCCCCAAACAAAAACGAGCAAACTAGTATGACGTCACCCGTTGTCGCGCCGCTCCCCCCTCCCCAGGAGGGTAAAGGGGTAGCCCCAAACTCACCACACCAGTGATCCACACCCTAGTTCTTGAGGCTGATGTTATCGGCTTGGTTGTGTGCTCTGGCTCCAGTCTTTTTGCGGCGCTGTGCCTTGTGTGTGACGGCTGTACTCCCAGGGTGCGAGAACCAGGAGTTATTTTTCAGTACTCGGGCTGCATTCGCCTAGGGTTCCCTTCCCTAGTTGCCTTGTAAGTACTGCCCATGGAGCTTGGGGTTACCTTCCACAAGTTCCTCGGGGTTTGCCTCTGTGGGTCCGTTTAACTGCTCGGTTTTTCGGCTGCCTTTTAGGATTAAGGGGCCTCGTAGCCTGGTGGATAGCGCGCAGGACTCGTAATTCTGTGGCGCGGGTTCGATTCCCGCACGAGGCAGAAACAAATGGGCAAAAGTTTCTTTCACCCTGAATGCCCCTGTTACCTAGCAGTAAATAGGTACCTGGGAGTTAGTCAGCTGTCACGGGTTGCTTCCTGGGGGTGGAGGCCTGGTCGAGGACCGGGCCGCGGGGACACTAAAAAAGCCCCGAAATCATCTCAAGATAACTCAAGATAGGTACTTGGATGTTTTTTCTCCCTAGTTTACCTTAGGGTAAGAGGCAGTTTTTGCACTGGTAAGGGGCGCAGGGTGCTGCGCAGCTTGTTGTCACCTACCACAGCAGCCGGCTCTGTTCCTTGGGGTACGTGGGAGGTTCTGCCCTACTAGCCACTGGTGTTTGGCCTCACCCTGATACTTAGTGGTGCCCTCTGCTTGGTCCCCGTGAGTATACACATCCCTGGGGTTCAGCTTTAGACAATTTGTTTGGTAGTTTTGGGCGCCGGTTAGCAGTACCCTACCTGGGTTTACCTGAGCGCAAGTCCTCTTCAAATAAACGCTCAGGAACCTGGGAATCTCCTACAGGACGCGTGGGTCCCATGGATGTGACCCTGAGATCCCCCCTTCGCTTCATGCGAGTTTGAGGGTTGTTCGGTCCGCTTGTCTCAGGGCGACCCTCACTGTTTTTGCCTCAGTCACACAGCCTGTTGGGTCGGTGACACTTTCGACCCCAAGTCCTGTGAGTATTGCTGCTTGCTGGTGACTGAATTTACCCAATCTGTGGATAATCATCTTCAGGTACAGGCTGCGCAGGCGTTGCATTCTAGGTTTCATTTGTTGCAATGCGCTCGGTTGGTTGCTCACCCGGATGCCCTGCGGCTGCCCCGTTTTGCTTATAGGGACCCGGACTCGTGGGTGGGGGGACGCTTCGACCCTGGTTCAGTCTGCACCTCCTAGTCCTTCCCCTTCTATTCGTTCTGCTTCCCCTCCCCTGCTTCCGGCCCTGAAACATCTGAGGGTTTCGGAGTCGGGGCAGGGGTTAGTTGGTCTTGAGACTCGGGCAGCCTCGGGGGATGCCCCTTCCGGTATGGCGATGGAGGCTTTCGAGTCTCCTCCCCTGGCCGAAGCCACTGGGCCTCATTCTATCCGGCTTCTACAGCTGCGCTGGCCTTGTCTGGTGGGGTCGGTGCTTGGGGGAGGACTCGGCCCTGGGTCCTATGGAGGAGGACCCTGGGGCTGGGGGGAGGGGCTTACTGTTACAAGAAGTGGGGTTTTCTCTTTCCCCTCTGCGTACGAGTTGGACTTGGTGTCTGCCACTTTGCTGGTTCGATTCCGTGTTCCCTGGGTGCTTTGGTTCCGTCTTTCCGGAGGTTTTCGGCTTATCGCATCCAACCTGCTGCGGTGTAGGCGGCCCTTGCGGCAAACCTCCTGCGTGACCTGGATTATGCCTCGGCAATGGATCCCTCGGCTTTCAGGTTTGGGACTTTGTTCCTCTTCTGACTCTGTTACGAGGTTCCGGAGTCCTCCTGGCTGGCGGACTGTCCTGTCTTTGCTTTGGAGGCTTGGCTCTCCTGCAGTTCCCGCATGCTTGAGTGGCGGGAGGCTTCAGGTTTTCCTGGGGGAGACCTTGAGCACCTCAATGAGTGCTTGTTTGCTCCTGCCCTTTTCCGGGATGTTGGTGTCGTTCAGCTCCATGTGCAGGTTCCCTCCCTTTCAGCGGCGCAGGTGGCAAAGGACTTGTGTGCTCAGGGCCTCTTGGTTGCAGCCTTGTGCTTCTTTTCCCTCCTGGAGCTGTCTTCCGACTGGCTCACGGAGGATGTGGGGGTGCTTGAGGCTGTTCCTGGGGTCTGGCGCCTTGGCCTCGGCGGCTCGCTGGTCGGCTGCCTTGCTGAAGCTTTTCGTGCCAGTCTTGCGGGATGCAGTTGCTCTGTTTTATGCTTCCCGGCTCGCGTGTCAGCAGACGGTGCTTGCCTTCTCTGTGGAATCCACTTAGGCCTTGGCTCTTAGGATGTCTAGCCCTTTTTGTCCTACCTTGTTTGAGGCTTCCGCCATTGCGCAGTATATTCAGGCTGCTTCGGCTTCTTGCTGTCCTATGTCGAACTTGCTGGTTCTATAGGGGTTCCGTGGTAGACCTTCCCGGAAGGGTCGTGCCAAGGCTAGGGGTTCCTCTCGTCGTGGTAGGCCACTGGTGTCGGGTTTGGGTTCGGTTACCCTTTCGGACCCGCCTTCGTCTGGTCAGCGCGGTGTTTGCTCTGTGCGAGGTTCTGGGTCTTGTAAGGGGCTCCGACCCTTTCGCAGTTCGCCCCATTGACGGGGAGATGGGGGGGTTGGCTTGCGCTGTTCGCTCATGCCTGGTCCCACGATTTGTGGGCGTTTCGGGTCATTTCGTGTGGCCTCCAGTGGATGGCCCCCTTCCCCTGCGGGGGGTTCGGGGCTGGCAGGGTAGGCTTCCTTCCCTTGTGCTCTGTCAGTTCGTCTTGGAGTGGGTTCGCTTGGGCATAGTCGAAACGACGACGTCCCTCAGATGGGTTTTCCGTGTTTCGGGACTGCGTGGACCTGCGGTTCATTCTGGACTTGTCCCATCTGAACCCCTGGGTTCATTGCCTCTCCTTTCGGATGACCACGCTGTCCCAGGTTTGGCTCCTGTTGGAGCCGGGCGCTTGGATGGTGTTCCTAGACCTCCGGGATGCTTATTGGCACATCCCGATTCATCCAGGGTTCAGGGACTGGCTTGGTTTTGTTGTGGGGCTTCGTGCTTACCGCTTTTGTTGTCTCCCGTACGGTTTGACCCAGTCGATTCTGGATGCTTGACCCAGTCGATGGCAGACATAGAATGCTTCCAACCACATGGGGGTTTCTATAGGCCATTGCTCCTCTTGCGCCTCTGAGGGTGCCAGGTTCTGGCCGTGGTCCCCGGTAGGCCCTAAGAACTCCATACACATGACTGATGCCAAAGTCTGACATTAGCATATCAGCCTAGTAGCTCTGGGGAGCCTCCAGGACTCGCCCAGAAAATGGCGTTTCATTACATTCAATGCTGGTTTTTTGGTGGGAGCCCCATCGGCTCCCCAGAGCTGTCCCAGGCTGATATGCTAATGTCAGACTTTGGCATCAGTCATGTGTATGGAGTTCTTAGGGCCTACCGGGGACCACGGCCAGAACCTGGCCCCCTCAGAGGCTCAAGGAGAGCAATGGCCTATAGAAACCCCCGTGTGGTTGGAAGCATTCTATGTCTGCCATCGACTGGGTCAAGCATCCAGAATGGTAAGCATCCCAAAACAAAACCCATTCTGGTTAAAATTGCTACCAAAAGCTGAACTAGTGGATAGAACTCCCCAACAGAAAAGAAGCAAACTAGTATGACGTCACACATTACCGCGCCGCTTTCTGCGCAGCTTCCCCCTCCCCAGGAGGAGACAGGAGGAGCCCCAAACCTCTCACGCCAGCTATCCACCCATCAGTTATTCAGCTGATGCTAGAAGCACCGGTCGTGTGCTCCGGCTCCGTTGGTTGTTTCAGTACTGTACCTAGTGTGTGGTGTCTTCTAGGTGGTGCGTGAGCCAGGTGTGAGTCTTCAGTACTCGGGCTGCATGCACCTAGGGTTTCCTTTCCTAGGTGCCCTGTAAGTACTGCCCTTGGAGCTTGGGGCCACCTTCCACAAGTTCCTCGAGACCTGCCTCTGCTGGTCCGTTCTACCGCTTGGTTTTTCGGCCGCCCTTTGGGCTCTTGGGTGTTCTGTTCTTCCTTGTTACCTTTGGGTAAGAGGCAGTTTTGCACTAGTAGGGGTGCAGGGTGCTTCGCAGCTTCGTTTTCCTGACATAGCGGCCGGCTCTGTTCCTTGGGGTGCGAGGTCCTCTTGCAGGGTTTTGTTTTTCTTTTTTTTTGACTTGTTGGGGGTTCTGCCCTATATTTGCCACTGGTGTTTGTTTCTTACACGATATTCCTCGGTGGTGCCCCCTGCTAGGTCCCCGTGAGTGTACATGTCCCTGGGGTTTAGTTATAGAAGTTCGCTTGGTAGTT